AGTCTCACTTGCTCAGTTAGGACATCCATGAGAGTCAGAAAGAGGAAGGAGCTCCGTGCTGAACCTTAGTACAGCCCTGTTTTAACTTTGAAATGTTCTCTCCCACAGACTGCTTCTTGGTCGCCTGGCACTCTTTGTACCTGCAACGGAATATTCACACACACGGCTCAGGGATTCCACACCCTTCCCTTGGCATCTGGTCTAAACATTGTCTAGATCCACCATCTCCATGTTGCACTGTCTTTCTACTATTTCGCCAAGAGTCAGTGATGCCTTCCCTAGGCATGAATCCAAACTGACCAACATGAATATCGACCATTTTTCTCGGCTCCAACCGATGGTATCAGAAGTGTTTGCCTCCATGCCCCTGGACTTTCTCCCTTAACCAAACACAAAGAGTAGCTCATTCAGGATCAGGATTCCAAAACGTAACCAGGCAGATCTAGAATTCTAGACAACAAGGTGCAGGGCTAGATGAACACAGCAGGCCAAGCAGCATCATAGGAGCAGAGAGGCTGACGTTTCGGGCCTAGACCCTTCATCAGAAAAGGGGGAGGGGAAGGGGGTTTTGAAATAAATAGGGAGAGAGTGGGAGGCGGATAGAAGAGGGATAGAGGAGAGGATAGGTGGAGAGGAAACAAACAGGTCGAAGAGGGGGGGGATGGAGCCAGTAAAGGTGAGTGTAGGTAGGGAGTTAGGAAGGGGATAGGTCAGTCCAGGGAGGACGGACAGGTCAAGGGGGCGGGATGAGGTTGGTCGGTAGGAGATGGAGGTGTGGCTTGAGGTGGGAGGAGGGGATAGGTGGGAGGAAGAACAGGTTAGGGAGGCAGGGACGAGCTGGACTGGTTTTGGGATGCGGTAGTGGGAGGGGAGATTTTGAAACTTGTGAAATCTTTTATTTTGGGTAACTATCATCCTAACATAGTCACAAAAGCAGACACAGAAGTGAAGAATTCTTTCCTCATAAGCTCTGAAATAAAAAACCATCTGTGCTGTTCACAACAGCTTTAGGAGTCTCATCCAAAGATAAATCTGGAGCAAACAGTCACGGCGAAGGGGAATTTGCAAATGGACATTGTAGTGGAATGCACTTTGCAGCTTGCAAACATTGGTTATCAGCAAAATAATTTTCAAGCCTACTTTGGTCACAAATTGCTACCTTTTTCATTATTTCATGATTCCAACGTTGCTGGAAATGTAGAAAATTTCCTGTTCTGAAAGTAAACTTGGTTCATGCAATACACTCTCTGGATGGTGGTTAAAAAAAATTGATGTACATAACTAAAGTAATAAGATCGCAAAGTGCCACATAACAAATATTTCTCCAGGACTCTGCATTCACCAACCTCTTCTAATGTGTTTCCTTTTCACCGTCATTCGTAATATTTTACTGAGCGCTTAAAAATGATGCAATGTAAACATTCCTCCTTCATTATGAATCCCCAAAACCACACCCATTTCAAAGAATGGTACAGGACGGCATGCCCGAGACAGCAACAGGCCATTTTTTTTGGAAAGAGAGTGAGCTATCATCATGGTGAAACTACAAGACAGAGTTACTTGAATGCCAAACAGCAGAAGCATCATACAACAGATAGGACTAAGCAACCCCACGACCAATGGATCAGGTCCAAATTCTGCAGTCCAGCATCATGAATGGTGCTGGATAGTTCAGACAGTAACAGGAGGTGGAGGCTTTACAAATATCTCCAACCTCAACTATGGAGGACTCCAGCACATCATTGCAAAAAACCAGGCTTAAGTACTTACATCCAACTTCAACCATAAATGCCAAGTAGATGTTCCATCTCAGGCTCTTACCATGGTTCTCAGCATCACTGATTTCAGTCCTCAAACAATTTGATTCACTCTGGATGATAGCAGAAACTGATGGCACTTCATGACAACATTCCAGTAATAGAACAGAAGACATGCACTCCAGACAGTTGTGCTGCTAGTCAAACTGTTCCGGTACAGCTTCAACATTAGCATCTACCTGACAATTTGGAAAATTGCTAACATTTGCAGTGTACAGAAAAAAACAGGACAAATCTAACCTGGTCAATTACCAGCCTATCAGTCTACTCTTGCTCATCAGCAAAATGATGTGGTGGTGGTGGTGGAGTGGGGTCATCAACAGTGCTGTCAAGCGACCCTTGCTTAACAGTAACCTGCCCACTGATGCATAGTTTGTATCGCATGAGGGCCACTCAGCTGTAATGAGATCAGCTTCGATTGACTCCCTTGACATGAAGGCCACGTTTGACACAGTACAGCATTAGTAATTTTCACAGTCAGAAAGGAGAGATCACATCCTGAGTGATAGCAAACCTGAGTATATAGTTTCTGGATTTGAGAGCAGCATGAGAATTTAGTGCAGAGGGAAGGAGGTGCTTTTTTGGTTCATAGCTTGTAAGATCGTTTTAACAGGATAAACCGAAGCCCAGGGTCAGACACCCAGCACAAAGCAAAGGGCATCATCAGAGAAAAACTGAGTTAATTGGTTGTTGATAACCATCAATTTGACTATTGTGGTTACTTTCAGACTAAAGTAAACAAGAAACGGAAAATTATAAAATCAAAGGTAAAGGAGATTGCAGAATTGCATGTTAGCAATAGGGTTGCTTGCTACTAGAATATAGGAAGGGACAGAAGCGTAGTTGTCATTTTGCACCAAGGAACCATTATAATGCAAGGAAATTTGACAATCTTATAATCTTAAAAGTTTGTATCTTAACGCACGAAGCATTCGGTATAAGGTAGACAGACCGACAGTGCAATTCGAGCTAAACGAATAGCCATTATAGAAATATGGTTACAAGGTGATCAAAACTGGGAACTTAACATTTAGGGCTATTTGACCTTTCGGAGAGACAGGAGAGATGAAAAACATGGTGGGATAGCACTGTTAATAAAATATGAAATGAAGATCGTTGAGAGATGATTTTTGGATGATGTAGAGTCCAGGCAGTGGTAGAAAAAAAGCAAAGGAGATAAGATATTGGTAGGAGTAGCATACAGGCCTCTTAAATAGTTCACACATGGTGGGGACAGCTATAAACTAACAAATAATAGGAGCATGCCCACTCCCATCTGCTTTCTTTTATTTATTTTCTTTAAAGCCTTGGGCAGTGATTGGGCGAGAGTGGGCCATGCATGGAATGGTGGCAGCCTCTCAGCAGTCTGGCAATTGGGTTGGCATTAGCGGCAGCAATGGCTCGGCTCCTTCCAGTATTCCGGGGGGGGGGGGGGGGGGGGAAAGCTTCCCCTTGTGATCGGAGGGGCTGGCAGCATCGTCAGCAGCAACAAGACCTCCAGCAAAGGAGGTCTAAAATTACAATAAAGGCAGAGAAAATAAAGTATAAGGGCAAACTAGCGAGGAACATTAAAAACTGACAGTAAGAGCTTCTTTAAGTATCTAAAAGGGAAGGGGAGGGTCAAAATGAACCCTTGGAAAATGAATCTGTGGAGACGGTTATGAGGAACAAGGTAATGGTAAAGGGCTTAAACAAATATTTTGCATCATTCCTTATGGTGCAAGAAACTTCAAACATGCCATTTATACTAACGAATGAGGGGCCATCAATAAAAAAAAAAGCAGTATTTAGATAAACTAATGGGGTTAACAACAGATAGGTTCCCTGGCCTTGATGGCTTGCATCCTAGAATCCTAAAAGAAATAGCTCCAGAGATAATGGAGACATTGGTCATAATTTTCTAAAAATAACTGGATTCTGATGTAGAGTTTGCGCTCCCACGCGCATATGTGGGCGGGGTGCAAAGTCAGGTAACCATAGGCCAAATAGCCTAACATCTGTTGTTGGAAAACTATTGGAGTCAATTATTCAGGAAGCAACAGTAACACACTTGGAAAAACAGTCTAATCACGTAGAGTTAATGAAAGGAAAATCAGGTTTGACTAACTTAGAGTGTTTCAAGCAGTGTCCACTTGAATGGATAGAGGGGAGCCAGTATATGTTGTACTTGGAACTTCCAGATGCGTTTGACAAGGTACCTCACAAAAGGTTAAGTCATAAGACTAGGGTCAATGGTGTTGAAGGTGGTATATTGCCTCATTTGGCATGGTTATTTAACAAGTGGGGATAAGAGATTCTTTTTCAGGTTGGCAACCTATAACCAATGATGTTCCACACAGTTCAGTGATGGGACTGCAACTGTTCCATTAATGACTTAAAGTAAGGAGTGAATGCACCGTAGCCAAATTTTCAGATGACAAAAATAGATGGAAAGGCAGGCTAGAAAAAGGGACACAAACTAACAATACACAGAGAGATATTGATAGGTTAAGTAAGTTGTCAAGAAGTTAGCAAATGGAATAGAATACAGGAAAATTTGAAGACGTTCATTTTAGGATAACATATGGACAAATGGTTTAAATGGAGAAAACTGCAGAAAGCTGCAACACAAAAGTGAGATAACAAGGTGTAGAGCTCGATGAACACAGCAGGCCAAACAGCATCAGAGGAG